TATTCTATGATTCTATGATTCTATGATACTTAGCTATATGCACCTTAGGAAGCTGATGCTGAGTGCTTTTTAGGAAAGCAAGAATGCTATCCAGTTTTAAGTATTTTAAATTCCTAAATATAAAATAATTCTTCATGGCGTCAGACAGGGGAAATAAATGGTCAGTGCATCTGTGCTGATAGGTTTCTTGAAATTGGAAACTGAGTGATACCTAGTCTTCCCTACTCCAATTTTACTAGACCTTGCTCTGAAAGAGGTAGACACCCTATTTTATCATTGACATTGCTTTCCCCTCATTTTGCAAGTTTTTAGGGAATTAAAGATGGCTAATTCTTCAAAATAGATTTCAGTGGCTGTTCTCTCAAAAAGTTTTCCCTACTGTGGACACTTCCCAAGGTGGTGTAAAGTATCAACATGATAGAATGAGTCACATAAAATTCTTAACACACTCTGAGCTACTCTGTACTAATGGCCTCTCTTGGGAGTGGACCGGCTATAAGCTGAAATGGTGGTCTCATGCTTTGGTAGTTTTCCAGGTATTAGCACCATTCTGGCACCACAGCTGTTCTCAAGGACACAAAAATAGAATTATAAGAAGAGTTAAAAGAATTTATAAGAACAAAAAGGAGAGATAAAACCATCTTCCTTTTGTCTAACATCTTTTTTTCATGTTTCTTTTTGTTTGACTCTCTGTTCTTTAGAAAGTGGATGTTACCAGCAGGGCAGTTATGGAAATAATGGCAAAGACAATAGAGTATCTTCAGCCCAATCCAGGTAATGTAATCTTCCAGTCTCACATAACTTGCAGCACTTTTGAAAATACCTTTTCTCGCCAATATATAGTCTTGACAGATCTCATCCTCACTGATGCAGTTAAGTTTATCATAAAATTGGTGAAGTTACCACAAACTGAAAGACAGATATGAGTACAGGTTTCTGTGTTAGGCTGTCAGGGGGAATGCAGACTGGCTTTGAGAGGCTTCTTTTCCTTCTGTGTGTTCTTGCTTTAGGTAAAGGGGCAGTGAATGCCTAGAAACCAAATGTATTTACTTGCAGGCAACTGAATGTCAGCACTGTGAGCATTGGGGGCTCCCTGGGAGCTGGAGATGGCTGTGGATTCCCCACGGGTGGCAGGGCAGGGCCTGGCAGCCAGGGCCCATCCCACTGTTCCAGCCAGGAGCAGGACAGCCCTGGGCATCAGGCACCTCCCTGCATATGGGGACGGGCCAAGGCCAGGCAATGAGCCGGTGGGTGGGCATCAGGATCAGGCACAGTGAGGGTGTCTGCATCAGACATCTGTTTCTTCTACAGTCCCAGTCATTCACCCTGTGTGAGGGAAAAGGACTAGGCAGTCCCTGCAGACCATGAGATTAAATGCAAAGTTCTGAAGCAACTTTCTCCAGGGCACAGGAAGAGATGCAACAACACCTTTCACTGGGTCCTCTAGCGATTTCCCATCCTCATTAGAGTTAGTACAAAAGGAAGGGTGCGAAAGACCTGTTGGTGCCAAACTGGAGAAGAGGGCAGGTAAATGGACATAATCAAGATGACTAAATTGAACCTTCAAAATAGAAATAAAAAATTGGTTGCCATGGGGAGATGAAAGAAAAGTTTTTTGATTGGGCTGTTGGAGAGCTTCATGCTCGTCTCTTGCCAAAATATCCTCACAAGGAGGGGTGATCTGGAGCTATTATAATCAATAAACCATTAAATTCAAGAGCTTGAAGATTTCTATATTGATCTAGGAATATAAGGGTTTTCACAGCAGCATAAGTCAATGCTGGCTTCACTGATGGGGTCAATGGAGTTACGCTTGTGTAAAATTAGTGTGAAGGTAAAATGAGGCCCTCTACCTACTATAGCTATCTTAAGAGTTTCAGGGAAGTACAGACCAAATTCACTTATTCGCGGTGAAGAATTTGTTTCCTAATAGCTGGAAATAACTGTTGTGAAATATTTTAACTCCACTGTCATAGGATAAAGGACTGCTGCTCATATAGCTTAATTGGTAAAATTTTTATTTCAGACCACAGAGGAAAGGAGGATAATTTGATGATACTGCCAGTGGATTGCAAAAAAGGAGGAATAATATTTACAAGTTCAAGAACTGCTAGAGAGAAAATAAGGATGACTAGAACAGTTTCTATGTCAACAGATGAAATACTGTTTGTGACTTGAGTCCACAGCTCCATAGCTCATCATCAACAAGCACTCTGCAGGAAAAGCAATAGGATTGACAAACATTATGGGACTAGTGATAAAATTGTTAACTACTGTCAAGCTGCTGTTGTGCAACATTGTGTGGTTGCACATCTTCTTTCTAAGAAGAAAATTAACCCTATCCTAGCAAAAACCAGGACAACTGAGTAATAAGCTTTGGATGTTTAGTGCTTCTTTGGCTGCCATCCTGAGAATCTGGGTGATTATGATTGCTGTGAATCATGAAAGAGGCTCACAGCAATGGCAGAGAGCAAAATTTCTGGAAGTAGCTAAAGGCATGATTTCAGACACCTCAGGCTGATGCAGGTTTGCAGTGTTGCAGGAAATAGCAGTTTCCATGCTCTAGCTACACATCCCTTCATCTGATTGTGGCATGTGCAAGTAGGATGAGAAAATTAAAATAGTAATACGCAGGAGGAAGATTTAGTTTCTTGCATATCAAATAAGATCATGTTATTCGTTCCACAGCTGGGCAATGGTAGCAGATGGAGTAAAAGGAAAGGAGGACTGACACTCTTCAGGTCTTACCTGATCTTAGATTGTTTTATGCCAATTGCAAAAGGGCTCCCTATAGTGAGAAAAATTGCATGGAGAATTACTTCTTTTTTCAATAAAATATTTCATCTTTAAAATTCTCCCTACAGCTATATTAATACTTACTTGGGTCACCAAAAATACTGATTTCCAGTATGTCCTGTTTGTTTTCTCATTTTCATAAAAAATAGAAATGTTACATTGGGAAGAGGAGGAAAATTTAATGAAAAAAAAAATTCTTTAAGAGCAATATTTAACAGAAGGTTTTCTTTAAAAGTTTATCTGGGTTTGGCAGAGAGAGGAGGGCTTGGGATGTAGTACACATTCCTTGATGAGTAAGATGTGCCCTGAAAACATCAATATGCTTGGATAATATAGTACTGCAGTACTAGAGATCAATTTGCTTCATGGTGTTTTGAAGGATCAATAAATGAAGTATGCAGCATTGTCTGACTTCACAAAACAGTTAATTAATGTTGGAAGAAA